CCTGTGGGTCGCGACCCCTTTGGGGGAATCCAACGACCCTTTCGCAGGGGTCGCCCAATTCATCACAGTAGCAACCAGACTGTGATGAAATAGCAACGAAAATAAGTTTATGGTTTGGGGGGCGGGGGTCACCACCACACGAGGAACTGTATGAAAGGGTGGCAGCATGAGGAAGGTTGAGAACCATAGCTACGGAGATTCTGTTGAAGCCTGGCATCGGGGTGCCCCTGCTGGTATCCGACCAGGGGTGGGATTGTAATCATCGAACAGGCGGTTTGCTGCCTGTTTTAGGAGTGAAAAAAGATAAAGAGCAAACGGGGGTGCCTTATTTCAGACCCCCAGACCCAAACCAAACGCACTGCTGACTCCCAGCAATCCCCTGGGGGTTTCTGAGCTGGAACTTTCTGAAAGAGTGGAGAGCTCGATCTTTCTTTCCCGGAGCTGCTGGTGGCTCCCAACTGCCGACCATGTGGCTCCCAGGCCAACTGGTCACGCCTGGGGTTCTCTCTCAGGTGGGCAGCTGGGCAGCCCCCGCCATGCGGAAATCGCAAATGTGTATTCCTTACCCCTTATACATGTTCATCTATAGGCACCGCATATGCTCAGCGCCGTAGTCATGGTCCTTCCGTCCAGAGGTATCGGCGATTAGACAGAGCTATTCTCGCAACAGAAGCAAAGAATGTTGCAGTGAGGACGCCAATCGAGAAACAACAAATAAATAAATAAATTTACATATAAATAATCAATTTTATAAAGAGATAAAAAATAAATAATTAAAAAAAATTTTAAAGAAGTCATATGGAAATATCTTAACATCACAGTTTCATTGTTTTGTTGGGTCTTTTTGTTTTGGTATTTTTATTTGTTGTTTTTTTTTTGGTCTGGTATTACTTACTATTTTTTCATTACGACCTCAAAACTCTGTCTCATACCACAGTCTAGCTTTGTGTCCCTCTTTTCCGGTTCTTATTTAAGTAGCAACTGTATGGATACGGGCACTTAGAACGCCCTGTCGCACAGACGAACATCAAAGAGTGAGGAATAAAATAATTTAAAAAGAGGAAAAAATGTTTTTTAAGAGTAAGGACTATACACTTGTGAGTTCCACACTGGGCAGCTCCCCACCTTAGAGAGAACCCTGATTTACAAGTGCCACCTTCACAACCGGTTCTCCAGACTCAACAAGAAGATTAGGGATCAGGTCTGCCCAACCGGTGCAAACTGGCTGAACCCCACCGCTGTATTTGGCCGTAGCTTCCAGCATCAGAGCAACACACCAGCCACGGCAGTGGGGTGAGGGACTGGGCTCTCTGCTGGTGTAAAGCAGCCTCTGCCCTTCCAGAACATTTGCTGGGGCGTGAGAAAGCTCAGACGGAGGACAGCCCTCCCTACGTGGGACAGCAGTCACCTGGCCCCTTCCCACTCAAAGCACATGATGCCTCTCGTCATTGGACACCCCTCAAGTTTCCCAAGCCCCTCCTCGGGGCAGACCTGCTCCAACGCTTCTCCCCCACGGCCACCCCAGAACTAGGGGAGAGCCTCCCCGCTGCCCAGCCCCAGTCCCAATGCCTCTTTCTCCCCAGGAGACGCTGGAAGACCTGGACAAGAACAAAGATGGCTACGTCCAAGTGGAGGAGTACATAGGTGAGTGGGACCTGGCTCCCTGGCCCGAGCCGGGGACGGCCCCCGGGAGGGTCTCTCGCAATCA